AGCCTAAGCGGCGTCATCAATTAGAAATGCAAATTTCAGGGCTTCCAGCATTTCTGGCTAACTTCAGGACACTGCAAGGTGCAATCAAAGTGCCCCCCCCCTAGGAAACTTTGCCTATCTGCGTAAGAATTAATCATAAAGTTGAAAGGCCTGAAACCACTGGCTCTCGTCGTTCAAGAAAACTGAGTTCAAGTAAACAGAACTAGAGCTTGCTGATCCAATCAGTGATAGCCTGGATATACTGACTTTTAATAACGATTGTGTGGATGCAAAGGGTTGCAAAATTACCATGCATTTTCGTGACCATGAGTGGCTATTTTCTCGGGTATCAAACTAAAACAGTGGGCAGTTCAAATACAAACATACTTGAACCTTGCAGTTAGGGATAAAACTGTGTGTCTTGAGTAGTAATACACGATGACAAACCTATTAAAGAGTATCGTTGTGTCTTGAAATTCTAACTTTGTCATTCGCTGTCGCTGAAGATCTCTTTTAGTAAGAAACGACTGACTACCGTCTTAGCAGCATTTTTAATCCTACTCATCAGTAGTTGCAAACACCTAACTATGGAATTTTTATTAGCGATTAGTGCTTGAATATCCTCGTTTCTTTCCTCTATCCTTTTCAACGTTGTTTGTAACATAAAGTTATTTACCCTTGGAGTCAGTGGTTACCGGAAGAATGTATTGCTACAGACGCCCAGTTCACTATCTTCCCAAACTACCGTTTCCTGGTCAATCCATTTGTTGTGACGATGCGTAGCCGCTACTGATGTGTTAAAAGAGGGAAAAGGCAAGTTAACTTCAATGCATATTAGCATCTGCCAGATTGTTACGGCAAATTTTGCTTCGAGAACTGCTTAATGTGAAATTAGACGCTCTTTGATGTTATGAATGATTACGAATAATACGATCTCAATGAATCTCCGTGTAGCTGAATACTTCATCTTCTACCACAAGCAAGAACAGAAACTGCATTTCAGTAAAATTTATGCTTTATGGAAAATGTATTTTACTGATTTCGGTGATTTTAAGTAATTCGCAATATTTTCTGCTTTCTTCAGATGACATTTAAGCTTAGTGCAACTATTCCGCCTGGCTCCTTTCCGATGCAAGAAAGGACCACAAAACATTTGCGCATGTTGATGGGATCTAGTGAAACTCCACTGGCTGTAGTTTCCACGGCTTAATCAGGAATTTGGTGTGTTTAACTGATGTTCGAGCTGTGGACGCCGTTAGCCAGTTCGCAGACTCCCCTTGAACGGTGTTAGTCACCCCCCATAGGAGCACGGACGTGAAGGTGAGAAAACAAGCTGACCCCACCCACCCGTTTAAGAGGTGCGCCAGCGGTTTCGAACATGCGTCATTTAAAAGCCCAGAGTACAAGGATGGTAGCAGCACAGTCCGAAGGCTGGTTATTAGCAGATGGTCTTTGATCAATACTGACCATCTGTACCCTCTTTGCCCCCACCCCAAAGCTCTCCACCCAACCACGAATCGACCCGATGCAGCAAAGGAGATCGCCGCAAGGGTCCCATGGAGTATCTCGAATGTCAATTTGTGACTGTGGCACGAGGTACAAAACCAGCTTTAGTTGCTATGCCAAAACCTTGAACAAGTTGCCTTTTCAATCACGGGAAGTTGGAATTTGTTAAGTGGTTAGGGGTTTAAGGAGGCAAGATTATAGTGTATGTTTATGGGTTGCCCCCAATTCGGCAGAAAAGGCAGAGCATGGATCATATTTTCGCGTAGTGGTCAGGGCGTCTAGGCTGGACACCAGACTTCTTTGATCAGCATAATCTTCCACGGGTTTTTCCTGTGTGAGTAAACTGCAAATATAAAATACCTCAACCATTTCTCCGGTCTGCTAGATGATCAAACAGAGTATTTATGCCAACGCAACTGGTTATCGAATAAAGTTGAACTTTGGCTTAGGACTAGTTACAGCAAGTTCACTTTCAGTGCACTTTCTGATTCGGTTTAAGGATTTATGATGTCGAGTGTTGCTTTTTTGCCCTCGTTTAGCCGATAGATCCAGATCTCAATCATAACACCTCTCTAATGGAGGAGGTCGGTGGGTCTTTTCTTTGGCGCATGGCTAATGATGGAAGAAACATCCAAACATTGGAAAGTATTGGGTTTATGACCATTAAGCATAGTATTCATTGAGGCCGATTCGGCGTGTGGTTTATCAGTAGGTTTTGTTTTCTCATGACACACATGGCTTAAGTTAATTTTATATCAAATATGTTAAAAATTATAATAAAATAGTCTCGCAGTTTTCATGACCCAGTGATTTGTGAATGCATGGGTTTAATTTCGCGTTCTGACGTACAGCTGCATGACAAACCGAATTCCAATCCAGTCTCGTTTTCTTTTTCAATGCTATAAAATTGAATGCATCCTTTTTTTCTAAAATTTTCTAAAATCGTCAGATTCAAGGTTCGGTGTATGTGTGTTTGTGTGTGTGTGTGCTAACGTATCTTCGGTTCACTAGTGCCAATGTTTTTCTCCAATCGACAACAACTGACCTGCGGTTCTCCGTTTTTTTTACTATTCGTGTGATGAAATTCTACATGGTTTGTTAATAGAAAGAGCACGTACGCACATATGCATGTTACTTCATTACCAAACATATTGGTACTACCAACAAAAATTCTCGTGAAATCGTGTTGAACTTCCCCCAGATATTTGGTTGGGCTACATATTGCAGTCATCCGTGTATACTTGAACCTTGAAGGGAATTTATGGAACCACTTTGCTCCTAACAAGACAGAAAAATTAGCACCATTATTAATTAGTTTCAAAAATTCAATCCTTTCATATGTGTATTCAATCCAACTCTCCTAGATAACTTACGTTGGGATAGAAAAGCCATGTCTTGCCATCCTGGTCAATTTTTATGAACGCCAAGAATCAGGTTGGTCCTTAGAATTTAAACGAAGCCGTAAATGCTCAAATTTTGTTTAAAAACTTTGCATAACGTAAACCTACTGGCCCAGAATAAATTACAGCTTCCTTAAAAGTTTTATAGTGATTGCACAACCACGTTATCACCCTAAGCATCGTAAGTACCAGTCATTTGTGAGGGAGTCATCAAAAAAATATCCTTAGGCAGATTAAACTTGTACTAAGCAAGTTTGCTCGACAACTTTGTCTTGAATTGTTGTGTGTAGAAGGCACCTAAGATTTTATAATTCAAAAGTGTAGCCCACGAGGTCATAGCCAGCTGTGTGATACCCTATGGTCAGGAGCACTCGTTAATTAAAATGCATGCTCGTGCCCACAGGGGTTTTAACAAAGGCATAATAACCGTAGGTAGACCAGAAAACCATGGATGTTTTGACGAAATTACAGACTTCTTAACGGAGGTGGGGTCTCAAAATATGTAATGTGGTAACAGTTAAGAACTCGAAAATCATTTCTGAACCTGGGCCCAAAGTAGGCTACCAGATTTCAAAAGTAGCATGACTATTGCCGTCTGAGACTTCATCAAAATTAGGCCTTAAGAATGCCGGGATTAAACAATTAAAGACATGACGATTTCAATGTTGATCAAGTCCAACTGACGATACACTTCATAAAGTGTATTTAATATGTGGCACAGAAATTGTTCTAAAGTCGGGACTGAAAGCAAAAAAGGATTATAGAGGAGGCCATTGCAGTAAATCTCACAATGACGCAAGTTACATATTGACGCTTTTTTAGGACGTCAATATGTGAACTCAAAGTACCTGTGCATAGATCTACGCGGTGAGGTTTAAGCAAACCATTATAGCGACCAATTAGTCGTACAATAGTAGCCAACTTCATTTCACCTCGAAATTGCATTTATTTGTTCAAGCTGCTTCGCCACATTTGGCTTTTTACTATATTTCAAGGCTTACAGGCAACAGAGTTTGTTGAGGCGTGTCGACCAATAGGCTTGCAGCTGTCTATGGCCTTAAATGAGCCAATCGCGTGGCGAAAATGTGACACGTGTATGCGACAAACCTCGTGGTAAATGCGCGTGTCCCTAAACCTACCTCTCGCAAGCGAAAACCAGCCTGAATGTAATAACCTTTTAGAAAAACTCGAAACAACCTCAATCCATTGCAGAATGCTAATAAGCAACGTTATTTGTCGAGTCAACTGGGTTAGATTAATGTTAGCATTTTAATTCCCTGATGACTTGGGAGCAAAATCTTTATTCACAATATCAGACTGCTGAATTAAACTAACAAAAGCAACTACTTAAATGGTTCCCTTAAAGTCTCCAAAACAACTGATTGTTTTCTACACATGCTCAGTTACGTAGTAAACTCGTAGTTACAATTAAAACGTTGCTGACATTGATCCCGCAACAAATAGCACGATTTAGGGAAGGAACGGGCAACTTTTGCACTATATCCTCGAAGTCGTCACAATTCAAAAGCCCAAGATCCCTAATACTTGTCGGAATTATACCAGCAACGTCACTCGTCGAAAATTCTCACATATGTGTAAAATTCAGAGCTTATTTAAAAACCTTAATAGGTGTTAAGAGGTAGTAAATTAACTAATAGGAAACTAATGCGTGTGAGACCAATAGTGCTCCCCCATAAGTCCGGTCTGTTATGCCTTGCGGAAACCTCTCAGGAATCGGGGGTGGACACGTGACTTCCACACCAGGCTCAGAGCGTGGCATAAAGCGTGGCACGAGCGTGATTCTCCACTTAAGCGCAGTCGCAAGTTGGGTACTTTCTCGAGCCACTAGCTCGACTGCACATGCAACGCACGCACGAATGCACGCACGCACGTACGCACGTGCACGACAGTCAAACGCAGACTAAAGCTCGTCTCTAATTGGTTGAATAATCAAGGCCTGTTTTGCAACTGGCAGCTTTCAGTCACGCGGTTAGCTATTGATCGTTACCCAGTTAAACCAATCACAGGCCCGAAAGCATTTTATAAATCTTGCCTCGAGGTGGCGTGCCCATTTGCAGCAGCTCACGCTTTGCTTTTCGGGGCTCGAGTTCTCTCATGACCGAATCCTCTTCCGCTAAAAATGGACTGTTGTTATTACTTCAGGCTGCGGAAAAGATAGACAGAGGTAAGATTTTCTGAATTGGCGACTCTTGCATAATTTTTCCCTTGAATTGCTCACGTTTACATTGATGCTTTCTCTTGCACGTGTTAGAGTCCCCTAGAAATTGTCATCACCCAGAGCGTTGGGAAACACGTAGCGGGTCTTCCAGACATTTCTATGATGATGGACCCACACATTTCTCCTCGCCTTACTCATGTTCACCTATGCATAGGCGGAATGCCCCTTCAACTAGATGTACCCACAATGAGCTTGAGAAAAGCCGGTATGCATCATTTAGCACTTCCTAATAAAATCTGTACAGACGAGCGCATTTACGAACTTGCATGGATGCACTCAAGGAACGCTTGGTGTTTGATAGCGAAGTTCCTCGGATAACCATGCTTACGGTTCTACGAAAGGCCACAGCAACCATTCAGGTGAGATAGTGATTTGTAATATTTTATGTCTGCTCAATTTTATAACATAACCCACTTTTGCTATGAGTTAGAGTTCTCTTTCATCATTTTATAGCTTTTGCGCCAAAAGAATGAGTATCTTGAAGCTTGTGAAGATGGAGAAAAACAGCGGCTTTCTCAACTACTGAAACGTCGCCAAACTCTTCGTAAAAAGATCGAATCAAAACGTAGCCGTGCCCTGAAAATGAATTGGCGCGAGCGTAATAGGAACTATTCCGAGTGCTCGGTCCTAACTACCTCCTCCGGTAAATTAATATGCTCACATATCTGCCCTGTATAGCTCAACTAATGTGCATGTAGGAATGGTATCTATATTTTCGTAAGTCTATCCAAGGTATTTGCTAGGCAATAGGTTATTTTTAGGCTTTACTGGCGTACTAACAAAAGTACAGTGGCATGACTTTCATTCAACCACACTCATTTACATCCACTTGCTCAGACTGGAATTCATATCTAATGGTTGTACAAATCATTAACGAAGGCATAATTCCAGCTCTTTGGTAGCTGGTCGATACACACCAGTTATTCATAATCGGTCGATAGTTCTTTGCGCCCCACTGCTATACTAAAGGATGCTAATTTCCGGTTCCGGTTACATTTTTTTTTAAAAAATATTCTCATTTTTCAAGGAAATTTTTGGGTTACGGTTGGTTCATATCTTGCAAAGCTTTACTGCTCTGGTACCGTTTTAATCACCAGTTCGCATTCTTTTTATAAATAAACATCTCGCCTTATTGTTGAATCTTAATGCTTATTTTATACCCCGGTAACTGCATATTACTATCCTTTCATGAGTATGACAGACGTTCAGCTCCACAATATATTTTAGTAAATGTGTTTTTGTATTTGAATAAGTTGTACTGAGTCCACCTGTCAGGTTTTCAGTATTTGTTTGCCGTTCATCGACTCGTACATTAAAGTGAACCCTGATTATCATCACTGAATAATGGCCTCTGCCCTACTTTTTGCTACATTATAGAAAACTACCTTCCACGTAACTCGGCTTACACACCTAGTTAACTGTGGATATAAATGACCATTAGCGTACGCCCTTCGCATCAACTTAGGGGTTTCTCCTGTTTAGTAGACCACGAAATTATTGAGAAAACGTTTTAAATTGCTTCAGGATTAAAAACCCACGATCGCGTACATTATTTTGGTTTAAACGGGTACTAGGTCGATTGTAAACGTCCAAAATATGGAACCGTGACTACTTATCGTTCCCCCGATCAGCTATTTTTCTGTTTATTTTACGTCTGCACCCGCTTTTACAGTTGTGTTCAAGTGTCATTCAATTTGCTGCCTCAGCTGTCATCGAAAAAACTGGCCAATTTATGTTGACTTGACTTGCAGGCTCAAGTTCATTTGTGGTTGTTTATAGACACTTTTAACAGCTAAAAAGACCTTTTAGCTAACGGTCGCTTGCGTGCACTCGCGGAAATATACTCGCATAAGTCGTTGTTCAGCAATGCACTTCTTCGTTTCATTGTGGAGACGGTGTATGTGATCTACCAGTCCGAAGTTTGTTCAAGCTCGTTTACGCGCGAATTTTGGGGTGAATTCTCCATTTCCATATTGCAAAGGTGAAATGCCTCGTAATTGTGAAGAACTGGTATATTTTTGGTCATCATTTAGCGCTTTAATATACAAATCCATTGATAAAACACCAAGTTGTGTGTAATCTCACAAATTTGGCTTCATGTAAATTCTCTTTCCAGCTGAGTCTCAATTTTCGGTTCACCGACAAATCAACGGTTCCCCCTAATCCCCTGGTAGATTCCTCTCGTTTCTTACACATTTTGGCTCTGGAGTAAACGCGCGTTAGTCCATTTTTTTCCAAAACACTTGCTACTTAATTTAAGTATCCCAAATCGCTTGTGCTGTTAGATATAAAGTTTGTGCTCTCTATGCTCTTCGAGGCTGATTATGCGATTTGAAGAACAGACCATAGTACCTTAAAATTCACGGTTATCTTAACATCGTTATTGTTTTATATTTTTAGAAGACTCAGAGTTGGATTATGGATCACGTCACTTGCCATCAACCATGTATAGCATTTTGCCGATGCCGCATCAACAACTCGGCACTACTGATAATCATCGGTACTCGTCGCCTTGCGGGATTTCTTCAAGTGCCGTTACAGCTCCAACTTCAGCAGCAGCAGCAGCAGCATCGTCTGGGGATGCAACCACAACGTCGGCGGCAACAACGAACTATGCAGCATCAAAAGCACACCTCTCATACCACCGAAAAGTCAGCCAGCATCCTTCACAGCCACCGCCGCCACCACATCATCCCACAGCAGCCACAGGGCTCAGTCCCACAGACGCTTACGATGCTAGCAGCTCAGACTCAGGGTTCGAGGAGGTGATTGCGGCTACTGCCGCCGTCGACGATCAGCAGGTTATAAAAATGCTTCCGCCCGTAGTGTCTAATAATGAGGAAGTTTATACCGCCTACCAAGGAGGCTTCAAGGCTTACTGATGCACTGAACCACACGTAGGACCTTTGCTTCTTCGCCGACTTGCCTTCCCATCATCCGAAGTTTACTCACCCATTTTTCAGACCTGGTTCTTCCCAACACCGATCTCTTTCTGGCAGCCACCAGGTGAGTGCAACGCCTCTCCGTATTCTGTCGCGCGTGCGTGCCTCCTCCTGCTCCTTCACCACTGATGATCTCAAATGACACGACCCCTTTTAGCAGAAACCGTTGCCGGCTCAAGTGCACATTCAGTCTCACACGTGCTTGTCGTCGTTGTCGTCGTCGTGGTGCTCTTTTGTAATGCTATTCCGTCACTAATTCACACCTCCAGTTTGGCATCCGCCGACGAACTTATTTTATTACGACAAGATTGTTCTTCAATTACCCACGGCTCGCCCGTTGATCCTGCTTACGATCTACTCGACTACTTCCAATGCATTTTGTGTGTATATGTGTGTGTGTGCGTGTACGGTCACACGCAAAGGTGCATATCCCTCACTTGTCCAAGGATCTGTTGTTTTTCCTCACTTTATTCCTTCGTCCCATTCTTGTGAACTCATCAACCAGACAATCGCTGCTTTCACTCCTCAGTGCTAGTAGTCGTTAGGGCGTCGCTCTTTCCAGCCTTTCTTTTTGGTTACTTTTACTGAGAGAAGCGGAAATCCAAACTACGTGTCTTTCAAAGTCATAAAAGGCTACCATTTACCTGGGTGATTTTACCTTCTCTAAACTTGTTTTCTTGCGTGTATTGGTGTTATTTTCTTGCGGATGTGTGTGCCTAGTCGTGGTCGGCGTTGACTATCCGCCTGATTTTGCGCCATGGTATTACTGCTCACACGCCCTTTGATACACACAAGTGCAAATATTTTATTCATTTTTCACCCACTCCTCCCGGTAGCGTTGTTCTGCAATTCCTGCTGCGGACTGACGGAGGGAATAATTGCGGCAAATGATCCGCTTCTGATTCTATTATCTGTGATCGCCACTCCCACCACTTTCCAGTCTACCCCATCCTCTTTCCACTTCGCCCGATACTTGTTTTTACTTCCCCCTCCCCGAACCACGCCTATTCCCCAGTGTTGTGTAGTAAGCTTCGTAAATATTGCCGTCCATTTAACGTGGGCTCGCCTGCCAGTCACGGAAGCCCGTCTGCGTGTTGTTAAACTCACTCACTCCTACAGCGAGTTGAACTCAATTCGCTTTCGCCTCATAAAAGTACCTTGAGTGGCAGCAACTGGCCTACCTGATTGTAAATCAATAGTCCCCTATTCATTCTTCACCTACTTCTTCTCACACGGCACCCTACCACATCCCGTTAACCGCAGCAGGTTTCGTCAACTCATAGCGTTATAGGACCTTTCTCGTACTTTCTCGTCATATCCAGTTAATGTATTTAAAGTCAAAAGCCGAATCATTGCTTTCTATATTTCTTCGAACAGGTGTACCATGACAGGACGGGTTGTGGAACCGAATTTGCACGTTAGCCCAACAACGCGTCCTGGTTACTTGAGCGAGTATTACCTATATCGGGGCGACTTGGGCCTAGTCATTAATTGGACTTCTGGGATGTGAGGCGTGCTTTGCGCGAATCACGCTGCCGTGAGCATGGCGATCAGCTGACTTGCACGTGCAGGTCATGCATGCGTATTGATTTTCGCGGTTATATATTAGTTGGCGCATGCAATGCTTTGGACGTTTTAAAGTACTCGATATGTGTAGTGCCACTTGTATATCCTGTCGTTCCACGTGGCTTCTGTGCTGACAGTCGGCCTGAACCGGACAGTAGCAATGTTTGTGGTTAGAAGAGTTCATACTCGACCGCTGTTGAGCCCCTGGTGTTGGGCTTGAACCCACATCAAGGCAGCCGACTCTTTGATACTGGAGCACTGTTCGCAGATACTTCAAGGAGAATAAAACAAAGGCCCAGAAGTCCAACTCTGTATTAGACGGTTTAGTTAAATCGTTTTGCACATGCTCTCAACTGCTTCCAAAACTCAAACACGAAGAATGTTAGCAAAGTAAATTGGTGGATCTAACCGGTATGGTATTGTGTGTAGGGGTGATTTCGTGCGCTGATGTGTGCAGTGTGATAAAGTACACGGGACGATGGTTAAATCAAGGCGGGTGAAGGCAGTGATCTAGTTATTGGGCAACTCTGCATCATGAACCTGCATCATGAATCTGCAACTCTGAACCTTCCTTTTAGCATGACTAGGGATTATCGTCCTCGTAAGACTCGTGAGCATGGTATGAAACGATCTGGCATGCCAACACAGTCGAATTCGGTTCCTACATAACCGTAACCCTTTAGTCATCAAGTAGTTGAACTTGGCTGGTGTGCTGGTGCCCTATGACACTCATTTGCACCCAATGTATAACCGATTCATTCCACAAGTAGCGTTTAAAAATATCAAGCTGTGGACAAAAATTTTAGTTTCGCTGATATTTTTGAAGGTTTTGGTAAATGTAAGCCTGCCTACCCTAAAGAAATAGGAGCATACTTCAACCAATTTGTGGGTTATTTGTAGCCACAACTGTGGGGCTATGTGAAGCTAATGCTGCTCACTAACGGTAAAGGACAAAAAATCTATGTCATGAAGTTAAGACCTACTACTTCACCCCCCAATTTACGACGCAGCTTTTTTCACTCTGGTGTGAACACACTGCAAAATCATGAGTCTTTTGTACTGGTTTCTTTAGACGAACTTAGTGAGCAACATTGTTATAATTTTTTAAACAAAATATTAGCAGCAACTTGGTTTTGTGAACTATTGTATAATTTTTAATTGGAGACGCAGAGCTGTAATTCTATCCAAAATAATTACGTTATGGCATGCACTGGCATTTTTTTCACTAATTTATGTTAAAAAAGGTTCACCAGTACCCTCTCAAGTCAAATCCATTAAATAGTGAAATTGGAAAAAGCCTGACTCCGATGTCTTCACTAAATTAACTCAACCTGTATGCAGGTTACCGCATGGAACAACATATCCATTTTTTCACTACTCTGCTAGTGGTCCTTTTTGAAAGTCCAGTGAGGTGTAATTGATAGAATAGCAACAGAGCTCGCACTTTTGGGTCATTGCAGTCGGTACTTAGGCTTTTGAATTATTTTGGACGTCAGCGACAGTTCGCGGCAAGCTCTGACGATTATTTATTTAGGCGAGATTTGTGGTAAGCATTTTTATTTAACCAGGGTTCGCAGACACAACTAGGCTCTTACAAAATGCTAAAACCGTGAGATTTCTTGGTTAGAAGCGTTACTTGTAATGCTGTTTTTGAGGGAGTGGAAGGCGATTTCGGGCTTTATTGACAAGAGGAAAGTGTGCACTCAAAATTAGATGTGACGTGTGTCCACCTCCTCTAGATTTACCGCTTAAAGGCCTCATCAAAGCTTCTTTCCTGTTGTTATTTGCTATCAAAATAGAATCAAATACCTTATATTTATTTTGACTGGCGAAAAAAAAAAACCAACCGTACCAAATGAACAGGGTTTCTGAATTCATCAAGTGGAGGTTAGGGGTGTATTTATGTGCAAAAAATTATCCTTTGGACGCTGAATTTCGGATTACTTCAGGGAACGTCTTTACTTCATAATTTATGATACACCACTACAATAAACCTATTCGAACACCACTATAAATGATATTAGTTTTATATGACAGCGCTGTCCAAAAATACTGTGAATAATAAACCAATCGCAGGAAATTAGACTTAACAATCGAAACTTTACAGTTTTACAATAGGGCTTGGTGTTCACACAGGTAGGAGCGTTGACTTTGCAAATATTTAATCAATTTTGCTTTTAAACAGGCGTTAGCGCGTTAAAACGCCATGTGCAAAAGATTAATACCCGATGAGAAAAAACGATCTTCTACAAGGCTGAATGTCAAATCTCACATGCGAGGAATTCCCACGTAAAAAAACTGCTCGAAACACGCACACGCGCCACACGTGTGCCAGTGCGGCAGCGAAAAAACCGAGCGAACCGGCCGTGAGGCAAAAGCACGTGGGCGCATCGAGGTCAACGGAAGTAACAGTAGCGCCACATAAACTTACCATTAACTCCCCGACAGCGTAATTTTATTCCTTCTGCCAGAACTACAGTCAGTTGACAGTATCCCATTGATGGATGCGACCCTTCGGGACTATATGGCAAAAAGAAGGCGCAGTCTGTTATTACAACCGCTGGGGAGTCATCATAAGTCCATGTCAGTGAAACAATAATAACCGATGAAGATGATCTAGAAGTAGTCCAGAAGGCGCAGATCTGTGTACCTTGGATGAGCACAAATGTGGTTGGTGATATCGGCGAATTTGGTAGCATTTCGTGACAGAGGCCAATGACTATGTTAGTAAATGTGTTAGATTCTCATAAGCTGACCATAACACGCTTCTAGTAAAGACATAAAATTACTCTGGTTACGCAGATCCAATTTTGCATTTATGCAGTAAATCTATGTCCAATTCGTCCTCGTAAAAGGTCGAAAAGCGGCATTGTGATGGTAATGTAACCCGGAACAAAGCGGCTTTTGAGTTGCGGAATAAATGCCACTTAAATGAATTTCTAAAGCAGAAAGCGTATAATGTGTTTATATAGTTTCTTTGTGAAGTCATTGGTTTTATGACTTAGGGCACAACGAACATCAGCTGAAGATACCAATGCTAAGTCCCCTTTGAATCAAGGGCTATGACTGTACAGTAAATTTTGTATATAGAGGTGAGCCTATGAACTGAGAAGTCAGCCAATTCGTTTGAAGTCTTATGCTCCGGAAGGTTACCCGGGATAGGTTGCACGTGAATTGTCCAAGTATCATTTGAAATCCGATGGGAAACAGTTGCATTAAGGGCCACAACCCTGAAAATGGACATTAAGGTGACTAGCCAGTCGTCGTCTTTAAAAAAATTTGGACTTTCTTCCTTTCCATCTTCATAGGGTACAGAGACAACGTCAGTTTTGGAAAGCCAAGGGTAATTAAACCGGAGCGTAAGGGGAAACGTGGGTAATCCAGTCACGTGACGCTGAGGTTAATTCGAAATATTTGCTGTTTTTATGGCTTGATTTTCGATTGGATGGAGGAGGTAAAAGTTTACATGTGGGGAGATTTTCAGTAAACCGGGGACAGGAAGTGAGATTCACTCCACATAAATAATTTTTCAATGTATGCTTTAGTATTTAGGTCAGGAACTTAATCTTACTTAAAAGTAAGTTGCAATGGTTCCATCGCGGTGTGCAGATTTAAAGTGACCCTACGGTTTTTAATGTCCTTGAGGGAGTCACTACCACCACAACTCAAATATTCACGAGGATACTACAAGTTAACAGAACATCTTAAGCAAAATGACAGTTGTTCAGGACAGTGTCCCGATTTGCCGAGTCGACACAAACGACTTCACTTTGAGCCATGAGAATGCGCTTTACCTAGTTGTCGTTGCAGATTTTTCACATGCGCACCCTCCACAACAGCTTATAATAACTAGAAATGGACACAAAATTAAAACGTTTTGAGGGAATGATGATGCTGCTTATTGTGTCCCTAGTTATGGTGTACTTTATTTTTTAGGAGCATGGCAAAACCCATGTAAAATGATTTCGAAAAGTTTCTTAATTCACCAAAAGGGTGCTGGGAAGTATAGTCACTCGTTTTAATGCAATTTTTTCTTGACAATTTCTGCAACACAGAAGGCGATCAAAATAGCAGCGTGAAAATAAAGGAATTTTCTCGCAAACACTTTATGGACAAGAATGCTTCACCCACACTAGCTCATCTGTTTACATGAAAATCTACCTGTTGACGACGAACTAAGTGTGACATCTGGTTAACCAAAACAAATAGACATGCCTTTCCTGAGTGCCAGTATCCAATGGAAAATGCATTCTTGAACATAGAGAAATAGGATTATGGTAAGCATGTGTGTGCGTATGATATCCCGTCACGACTGTACCGATTGGCTAGGTTTTCACGTACATGGTATAAGCTAACGAGCCCTTGAAACTGGAAAGACCAACAAACTGAAAAACTACTACATCGGACTAGTAGCCGCAAATTAAATGTTTACAGGTGCATCTTCGACGCATCAGCATCCATGTGTTATGATGCCTTCTGCTAAGGACGATCCTGTTAAAAACATAGTGCTGCGGTAGTGTGACAAACAGGAAAGTCAACATCCAGGCAAGCTGACATATCTTGGGCCCTCTCACTCACTGTGTACGCTGTCTGCTCGTTAGCTTCTCGGAGAAGGGTAGAGTATGCCTCAAATGCAAGCTTAAGTCAATCCTGGTATTTGAGTTGAGACTACAAAGGCAGGATTCACATGGTAGTAACAGTAAATGTAAGGCCCAGTGGTCACCGACTCTTTGATTCAAGCATTTATCAGTTAGTAGTCTTGGTGTCATTTGACGTTAAGAGTGGGTGCAGATTTATTGAGCACATAGTGATGTGGTTAAAATGAGCAGATGTGCCTATGAAGCCATAAAATTTTGTGGGAGGGGCCGTAATTGGTGACTGATTGAACCCGAACTCAGTTAAAAAATGAAAAATAACCCAAGACTTGACTGGTATTTGCACGGACCGCACGCATGGAGCATGGCGCTAGAGACTGTGATTGCTCACTAGGAGGTCTCCAAGGCCTCTTTTAGCTGCTCAACCCAGTAGAAAGTGGAACCCGAAGTGTATTTTAATCTGGTAGTTAAATCGCAATAAATGAAGGCTAAGGAATGATTTTGAACCATCGCACCAAGTACTTTGAGTTTGAAACTCGCTGACGGAACAGGAGAAAGCGGGGCTGCATGACAAATTTTTGATTCGAAACATGCTTAAAATGCCGTTAGTTTTTCCAGTTATGTCAGTTCCACAGCTTCGCTATAATAAAGTACATCGAATGTAGTAAGAAATTACCCTGAGGCAACTTGTCTTCGTTTACCATTCTCAGTTTCATAGCTTATATCCCAGCGCTTCTAGTCTTGGGTTTTATTAATCAAACTTAATTATTCTAACGCAAGGATCATCGCAATGAGAAATTTTCACTTTTAACTCACTCGAAAGTTCATATCCAAAACACACTTGCTTTACCTGATCTTTAGTCATTCAAACCAAATAGCAATTTGACAACCATGATAACATCTAAACACATCTGATGTTTCGAAAGATTAGGGTAAGACAGGGATCCTGAGTTTTAAAATTACTAACTAGAAAGCACGTGTGGCCTTAAATGCAGTCTTCCACTAAAAATTTAAAAATGCAACCTTACACAAATGCAAGATGCAAATATCAAGGGTTTTTGTTCAGCCAAATTATGCAGCTTTGGTTCATGACTGGAATAAATCGATCGAGCCAAAAATAGCCTGCAGTATAGGAAGTGTAACAAAATCCCCCTTGCTAGCTGCAAATTTTGTGTGAAAGCTTATGTTGGATTGATGCTGACTGGGGAAGTCTTGAATGAGGATGATCGATTTTAGATATTTATTTTTTCCATGTTATTGGAGATTTAATTTAATCCAGACGAAAGCGTAAGAGTTTGTGTTTCCAAGAAATTTGCGATTTCGTGTACATACGAATCCGGTTTTTAACATTCATTCCACCCCACCATAGGTTTGGAACTAAAATATTCGTGTCTACGTCTCATAGTAGGTGATTTGACAAAGAATGGTCACCATTTTACAGGCTACAGTTTGTTTTTTTATGTGCGCATGTGCACAAGCCTGGGGCGATGCTGTGCTTGTCAATTTCGCTCCGCGTGACCCTAGATTTCAGCAAACTAATCAACATCTGTTCTGCTAAACAGCCATGCGGATGCGAGAGATCGTCTTACAAACCTCTGGACCTCGGGACAGAATTTCACTTAAATCACGAGCATTTTGGTTCGAATGCAGGTCTAGTTTTCACGGCAAGCGTAAAAAAATAAACGCTAACAACAGAGGAACTAGCAATAACAGGGAGTAAAATACATCAGAACATTGAGCAAAATGTCCACCTCTTTTATTAGCTTTAGTTCATCCACACAGCATGGGCCAAGCGTTGTATAAAAGACGATTGCAACTACAAAAAGCAAAAATAAGTTAAAGGATTCTAAAATTATCATTTACGGTGGTCATTCACATTGCATCTTTCAAAGGTTTCCATTTGGGTATTCTCATAACGCACCGGGCCTGAAACACTAAACGGAACGATTGTGCTCACGAGAAGTATATCACGCTTCGCATGATGACGATTAGAGTCAAAATTTGAAAGACCAAGAGATATCAACTATTATTTAAGAAAGTTTTTAATTCCTTTGGTGGGTTTGCACTCCAAAGTACCCACAAATCCAGTGAATTGTTAAATGTTGATTAAGTGCATAATCGATTTTAATTTATGTGCATGCAACTGCATCGCTTAATAAGCCTTTAGTCAACATCTAAGTCATTTTTCGTGTGATTTTCAACTGGAAGGCTAGATTGTTGACGGCGAAGTTGTGATTCGGTTGAGCGGTTTGTGCGTTTATGAATCGCGGACAAGGAAGTAAAAGGCCATTGTGAATAATTCCAATGCAACTTGCACCACGTTGAATAAAGCGTTGGGGGGTATCAATTTCTACATCATTAAAAATGGTCTTTTAAGATATTGTACATGAAAATCGCAGTAAAAAAATTCAATTCGAATTATGAATCATTTTAGAATCACATGCTTGTCCGTTGGAGCAAATGAAGTCAACAAGACATTTTGCACATTCAGCTGTCAAGGACTGCATTAAGAAATTCCCATTTGGCATAATAGAAGTTCATTTAAGATTAATTTAAAATATTGTTAATTTTAAGTAGCAGTTTTTATAATGTGAATTCCCTAAAGGTAAATTGATACCTCTTGTTGCAGATTTTGCAGCCGGAGGTGCTGAAACAAAGGTTACCTACTACATGTGCTTCCTGTGAAATGTGCAGAGCCAACCATCCCCAAATAATACGAAACATAAGGAGTTTGTAGTAGTTTACTAAATCTGGAAACACCAATAGTGTCTCCGTAAGCACGAGGTATTTCCTACAGGTACTCCAAAGGGGGGTTAATCTTCATCTCAATGTGCAACCTGCTAAAAAGCCACTTTCACGAGAAAACACATTCTACGACGCAATATAACAAAAAATGCGGTATCAATTGCTTTCCGCTGCTTGATACTGTTACTGTAGGTGGACGGCATTTCAATCGAACTGTGAAAGTGATGACGTGAGCCCGTTTGAGTTGGTTTCGGTATGTCGGCCACTACGACAGCTGGTCAGCCCGTGCAAGGCCATAGCCCCAACACATGCCATTCATTTGAGAGTAGGCGGGAGGGGGGGCCTCACGTGTGGGCTCGTGAGGGGCGTGCGTCAAGCCTGGGGACGTGGCCATCCCCCTCTCACTGAGCGACGTGGGTCCGTACCAAGCTTCAGCAAAGCCCTGGTGGTCATCGGCTGGACAGTCATTTAACAACAAGTAACTAGAAGTCTCCCCGATTTTGATTCATAGCTGCATCTGAAACATCTGGCATCAACAACATTCAGATAATATTTCAGTTCCTGCGCACTCAAATACAGGTTGCACGCCTTTTTGTAGATTTGCGGCATTCGAAGCGAACAGTTAGACCACAACATGGGAGTGGACTTTGTAAAGATCTGCTTAGCCACTATGTGTAGCCGATGATCCCTGGTTTCTTTTTTTATACACTCCAGTTAAGGTGAATACGGCTTATCCAACCTTCTTTTCATACACACTCAAATGTTCTGAGGACGTCCATTATTCTTGAAAAAGGCATCCATATTTATTCATCCACGTCAAACAAATTCGATAGATTTTCGTAGAGGTCGAGGGCAGGATGGCGATGGCTCTAGTCGATAATTCAAGTGTTAATATCTGAAAATATGGTTCCCCACCAGGGAAGTGATTAATCATGATGTCTGACACTGATCGGAATAGCCAATTTTGGAACGAGTGCTCCCAGCTGGTTGGCGTAGTTAAATCCGTTAATTTCGCGACCGCCACTTATTGGACCAAGAAAACTGAGTGCTAGTCATTTGTCAGTAGAGTGATGAACTCAGGGGAAGTCTTAGAGCCCATGACCATGAAGTCCTCTTGAGAGAAGAACGGAGGAATCACACCATCATGACGAAACCTGTGTGTAGTGTAAATACTGGCTTTGGGGTACAATTAGGACGCCCTGTTAACGGAAGTGCCACTGACTAAATTAGGCTCTCAACCAGTGCAAAATACGCAAGAGCCCTATAGAAACGAAATTGTGAAATCATATTATTCGTAGAGGTAGTAAGGCGATGGTGGCCTAAATTCGAAACTACGTCAACTTATTTAGTTTTAAATAATACCAAACTACCGGGAACTGTTCATTTAAGTAAAGAATTTAGTTTATCCCTGTGCGCAGTTTCTGTTTTTAATGTTGTTATGCCAACATCTTTTAACTTGTGGGTGTTCACTTTGCGTAAAAAACCAAAACCACGATTTCGTTAAGGCCCTGATTCAACTGCCTCACGTGACCCATGGCAAATAAAATAAGCCACCGAATCGCCATTGTGGTGTCACGTGGTACAGTAACATCGCAAGACGCGTGGCCTAATCCGGTTCAGGCGATCTGCCTTAGTGTTGGGCGCACAATATTGAAAAGGGTGATAATCTGAGCGTATTTTCACAACTTTTAAGGGGAATTACTTATAATTTAGAGAGAAGCTACCTGTCCAGCACATAAGGACGTGAGTAAATGCTCTCATTCACACCGGTATAAGGCAACTGACTTCTCTGGGTTAAGCACTTCAATTCCGTAATCCGTACAATACTGTAGCATAGGAGAATTTAAAGTGTCCCACGTACAGTGAAGTGGAAAGTGGAAGAAGTGATGTGAAGGCAATCGCTCTGATTGTTTATTGGTCGGCTTTTCGGGAATAATAATATTAATACTACTAATGATAATATTATTGCTATTATCTCCCGCAAAACGCGACCCCTAGTTGCGTTGAGCACCACTCACCCTCTAGTTTAAATTGTTTTGGCTTCAGCATTCAAGTGGAGCTTCGGACACCAAAGTTTCGCACGCAGTGAGAAAAAAATTTTGGATCAGAAACATAATAATTCGCTGCCCTACTTTCCACCACTTAAAAGACCGCTAAATATCTTCAAATTTAAAGATATCATCGATGTCCAACCATCTACTAGTGCAAAGAAGTAGGAACTCTCAATTTGTCCCATGCTACTGCAACTGAAATGCCCGCCAACCGACAGTTTTCGTTAGCCGATTCCACAGGCTTCTGCCAAGAAAACTTTCATTTATGAGGGCATTCCCAGCCGCGTCTGGAGGTCCCCATACTCAACTTCGGGGCCAATCCAAGTGCCACGCACCTAAAACGCTCCCTTCGTAAGTCATGTACGCATTCATGGGCAAAATTTGCATTCAAAACCATTTCGGCTGAAGTCACGGATTTTGCCAATTATCCAGGGCTTCCACTGGCCTCTGAGTCCACTGGAATAAATCATTACGATGAATACGTCCCAAAATCATTCTTGTAAACATTATAAGTCGACAAACATGGAATTTAACATTGCAGAGAATCCATAGAAATCGGATTGAAATACACAAAGTTTTGCATCACAAAGGCAGAGTTCAGGGTGGAGTTTGAAAACGTTTCTATTACTTTGCACGAATGATTGGTGTGTGTGTGTGTGTGTGTGTGTGTGCGTGTGCGTGAAGACGAATGGATTTAGTGAATGTAAGCTAGCAAACCGAAGAAACAAAAACGGGACTTGCACCATTCACGAACACTGGAATATTTTAAAACGCCCACACGGAAAGGAGACAATCTTTGGTGTACCATTTGGGAATCGAAAAGTACAAGGACAAAAAAGGCAACCAAATTCGGTGCAAAACATGTCACGGTTCTCTGATTATTACCAGTGCTTCAAGTGATGCGGCCAACGAGAAATCGAGAGCACGCAAGCCTGCTTGACGGACACCGATCTGCAAAAGCGCATTTGTGTAAGCACGTACAATCCCACATTTCGTGAGCACAAATTACAAGAAATCGGGACTCGAAATAATTGGGTTTGGGCATCTTTCTACTTACTGTGCAATAAGTAAGAATTGCAGCATTATCGAACGACCTACGTCATTGCTCATGCAGCAGTCAGAGACCGTGCGCAGAGTGCGCGATTTGAATTCTTCAGCGTGACCTTGAAGTAGCGCTGTAGGAACCAACTTGAGCATCACCATCAGTGCTTGGGCATTGGCTTGTTGTACCAGTGGGGAATCTATACAAGGATAAATTCAATCCTAGAACAGTGCGTCGATTATAATTTATTCATTCGGCGCGATAGGATGCACGCACTAAGTGGAAACAAACACGCCCCGAAACACTGGATAGGATCGCAACTTGTGGTAACACCTCCCTTAAACCCACGAGACATGAAGACAGTCATTAAGGAGGTTGAGAATGCGCAAATGACAACGCGCAAGGTCGTACCAGAGGAGGCCTGACACCAGGGCACAAGGGAGGACACGTCACGGAATGCGGTGTCGGAGGTCGAAGCGGCAGAAGCCAGTGCGGCACCGACACAGGCACTCGCAGCCCTCCGCACAAAAACCAACGACGCCACCTCTTCGTCGATGGAGCCAGACGCTTCCGCCAGCCTTCCCATAGGAACAACGTAGCCAAGGACGGTTTGTAGGGTCGCTAACTTCGGCTTGCCCTTCGACTTCTCAAGGCACAGACGCAAGGCTTGAAGGGTGGTGTCACTAAAGCACGAGGTGGGTGCAAGCATTCGATACAATAAAAGAAATATTTGGTAACTGGCCTTTCCATGAGCATTATACTGAGTCTGCAGGAGTTCATGTGGTCATTTCATTAGTCTAGACCCTATGTATTTCCCCGTCTGTGAAGCAGTAGGTTTAGCAAATCGTTGTACAATACAGAGACTGTTTTAATGGTACGCCAGTCGACTAAAATCAACTCAGACTGCGTGGCACATGGAAAGGGATATTTCTGTTATGAAATCGGCCCTTACGATATATCTTCGCCGTAACCTGTGTTTAGATAAGTGTTAGCTGTGTCCTTGGAATGCGTAAGATGTGTGCCGGACTGCATTGTGTGGATCGGAATTTCTAGAACAGTGATCATGCATGTGGTTACCGCCTACGCGCTCTAATGCATTGTCCAATTGTTTGAG